AAGTCTCAAGCAAAGGCGCAGACACCCAGAGGCAGGAGCACAGGAGCCCGCGCCACCGCCTGCTCTGGGGAAGGATTGCCCTACTAGTGAGGGCGAACGGCCCCCGCCCTTCCGCTCTGCCCACGCCCAACCAAGCCTGCCACCCTCTCCCCATGAGCAATCTGCTAAGGTGGTAGAATTTACCTTGACTCTCCACGTGAGAGACCACCCTCTCTCCACCCCATACTGCTACCTGAGGGTGCCAAGGGTGAAGTGGGAAGACATCTCTGAGTGAGGCAGCTGGTGAGGCCCGCGTGCCCTTGTGAGCTCCATCCTGGGCCGATAATGAAGATGGCTTTTGAGCGTACAAAGGACAATAAATTATTACTTTGTGCTCAATAAATGCCAGGGCTCCAGGCAGCTGCATCAGCAGCAAACTGTGTGCACAGAAAAGCTTAATTATCCTGATATTATAGTTAAAAGCCAGTGGCACTTGTGTCCCGGGGAGAAATTCTCCACTTGGCAGGAGGTAACCTGGGCCAACCTGTGGGGAACTGAAGGTAGTATCCAAGGTCCCCAAGCAACACTGGTTGTCCAGGATCTTGCCTTGTCTCCTCTATGGGTCCAGAGCAGCACAGTGACAGCCAGAGCCTTCGGTCCAGATCCTTCATGCCGATACTGTTCAGGCTCCTGGAGCTGGTAGACAAAATGGAACAAGAATAGGGGAGGGGCTCTAGGAATTTTTTAAAAATGTACTTATTTTTATTTTTTGTGGTGCAGTACTGGGAATTGAACTCAAGGCCTTCACACTGAATTCCACCCCCAGACCCTTTTTAACTTTAAATTTTGAGACAAGGTCTCACTAAGGCACTAAGCTCTTTGTTCCGGTTGGGCTTGAATTTTTAATCCTCCTAGCTCAGCCTCCCAGAATCCTGGGATTACGAGTGTGCACCACCATGCCTGGCATCATCATCATCATCATCATCATCTCATCATCATCATCATCTCATCATCAATTGAACCCAGGAGCTTCACACATGGTAGGCAAGTGCTCTACTACTGAGCTACAACTCCAGTCCTTTAGGATTGCTGTAGATGGAGACTTGAAGGAGGCCCAAGGGAGTAGCCAAAAAAGCTGTACCATTTGATGACATGGAAAAAATGAACTTCCGGGGCTTTGCTTGGGTTAAGGAGCCCCAATGAGTCGGAGGTCAGTAAGGGGACCAGTCACAGTTGTACCATCCTTGAGGCTGCCAGGGGTCCATAGTTGGGCTCACATGTAGAGCGAGCTTCAGTGGACACCACAGGACATGACCTTGTGGCTGATGTTTATTATTCCCTGTAATGAAAGACAAAGGCTGAACTTGGCTCCTGAGAGGAGGGCAGCTCTGAGCTTAGTTTTGGCCCAGACCTCAGCCAATGCCCTGTGATTTTCCCAGACTTGTCCTAGAAGCTGATGGCAGAACTTCTGCTCTTAAGTCTCACTCCTCAGCGAGTATTTTTGGACCTTATGGTCCTCACAGTCTTCCAGCTCTGCTTCAGGGATTCTATCCAGATCCTCTTGTGGGCTCTAGGGAGCTGCCTTGACTGCTGTAAGATTCCCAAGCAGCAGGCAGGTGGCGTGTGGAATTAGCCAAGAGACATGCTGGGAGAGGATTTTTGGACAGTAGTTTTGAGAAGCTGAGGAAAAAGAGCAGTAGCAGGAGGATGGCAAGAAGGGGGAGATGTTGATGAAAGGATCAGAGGTGAGGAGAGAAAGCCAGCAAAGAAGGCACAGAGGGAAGGAAAAACCAGAGTTGCTCACAGAATTGGGGAATGGCACAGAAACAGAAATACAGGCAAATGTCACAAGATTCCTCTTATCTTCCTTGAAGGTTTTTCTGAGCTCTTTCCAGGATCGCTCAGGACTAGGCAACTTGGATGGGAGGTGATGATGACCCAGGGACAATGACCATTGTATGCCAGGATGATTCATGATATTTTGGAGGTAGGTGACAGGTTCATTTGACACCCCTATGGCTGGGCTCTTGATGGGCAGGGCACTATCTGGAAGAAGGAGAGTGAGAGGAACCATCTAGAACTTTCCCCGTCACTTTCCCTGCTGCTTGAACTCACATAGGCATTCAGGCGCACGTGCGCCGGAGGGGCAGGTGTTTCACTGGAGAATACAAGCCCCAGAATATGGGATTCTGCCCTGAGCTCAAAGAATGGTTTTGCACTGCGTGGGGGGAATAACTATGCCTCTGTGCTGTCCCTCCTTCTTAAAGATGCTCAACATGGCTTCTATGTAATAGGCTGCCGGTTAGATTGAGGCAGAGCCTGGGCCAACTCAGGAAGCAGTAGAATTTTTGTCAAGCACCATTTCCCCCATACCCTCCAAGGGGCCCATTCTTCTTGGAATACACACACACACACACACACA